ATGTCACGTGTGGCATCCAACAACAATAGGAGTTGATTTGCTTTGCTGTTTTATCGGCCAAGTCATTTCCCAAAATCGTGTATAAATCGTCAAGCTCGCGAGCATCTTGGAATTCCCGATGCGGTTTAACCTTGAGAACCTGATGGAACAACGGGTTCCACAACTGCTGTAAATTATGGATGAGGACTGCATTCTGCATGAGTCTTTTGATAAAGACGTGGATCTAGGGTGTCAAGACTGATGGCATCAACTAAGCGGACCGCAAAGTTTGAGTCTGAATGTACAATCATGAAACAATGAGGACGAGTTTGAGTGAAATGCTGGGCTAACCAAACAATGGCTTCCAGTTCACCCCGATGAATGGACTGTGTGCCTCGGACGTGAGAACTCTGCGTAATGATAAAATCATTCAAGGAAGGATCATGTGGGTTGCGAACGACTTGTTGGACAATTGCCTATGCTGCACAGCAGCAGTTCAGTTCTGTTGAGTGAGTAGGATGGTCACAGGATTCATCCGTATAGAATATGTAATGCGGACTATCGACAATGGGCGGGGCATCACAAAATGGACCTTGATGTTGGTACCTAAGCAAATTATAGACCGGTTGTTTGGAATGTGTTGTGGCCAAAGGAAGCCATAGCAGGTTTGGATGGTCGCGGAGTAACTGAACCTCTTTTGGATGTTGATCTCGAATGTGTTGAAAATCTATACAATCTAACTGACGATGGGCGTGTGTATCCGGAAGTCCAAAAAAAGGACAATCTATCGACTGAGTGGAATCCCACAGGATTGACCGCACCGTTTTGGTAACCACCTGTTTGGTTGAGCGCAATGAGTTTCCGAGTGTTATCGGAGAAAAGATGATTAATCTATATTGATCTTATGTTGCATGTAGACATCAAACGGCTGGAAGGTAACAACTTTTTCGGTGTTGGATTTGCTGAAAGACATAGGTTGGCCCACGCAATACGCAATGTGCGACGAATCTCTGTTGGTGACTGATGACGACGGTCTATCTGATTGCCATCTGGGAGCTCTAACGTTGCAGAGACCATGGGTTTCCAACAGAGTTTTTTCAAATACGTTGGCATGGCTGCACACGGGCCACATTTTGTGTCTTCGTTCACAACATGCATCCACATTTCCTGTGCCATTTGGGTGTGGTATTGAAACAAGCGGCGAAGGCAACATAATGCAGCGGAGACTACATGGAGCAAAGGATCATCAACTTTATCCGAGAATATGGAGTGCTAAAAAAGCATATGTATATAATATACGTTTCCCCACTAGAACGTCTGCAGCCAAACGTCTGAGTTGTGTAAAATGAGACTCTCCGATAAATTGACCTTCAGCCCCATAGAATGCAAGAGGCCACACAGCAGACAAAAGCACCTGTCCGCGCGTACGCCCACGAGCGCCCCCGCAGAACGCGCTCGTGCACCTTTGTGTCCCAGGAAGTCTCCCCCGCTCTTCGTGGAGACTGCCAGCGAGCAGAGCGACAGGACGTCACAGGCCCGGAAGCCACGCTCGTTGTAGGTAAAGGTGGCGGAAGACCTGGGAGTTGAAAGACTCTTGTGGACATGCCACGTGATGCACCAGAATCTGAATGTCATGGTGTCTTTATAATACGCAAAGTTGCTATGAAGAAACTCCCAAGCTGTGCAAACAGTGCTTTTTTCTCTACTTGATCGCTTCCAATGAGGGGAGTAGCAGGACTTCACCCCTTTTTGGATAGTAGCAAAGAAGCTACTAGTACAGTAACAAAGGGCATCGCTACGAACGGAGCGATCGGACGCTACGAACAGGGCGCTCCTGGCCTTACTAGTAACAAGAGGATGCTACTTGTCCAACTGATGTCTACTTGAAACATGAAGCTACTAGTAACAAGGGCATCGCTACTAGTAACAAGGGCATTAGTACTAGCTAGAAGCTACTAGTAACAAAGGGCATCGCTATTAAATAGGAGCCAGAAGCTACTAGTTGGCATCGCTATATACTAGTAGCAAGAAGCTACTAGTTTTGTTCTCTCCATGGGTCTCCATGGGTCTCCATCGCGCCGAGGAACTGGGTGGCGTCGATCTTGAAAGTCGGTTCCTCCGAGCCATAGCCTCAGTCGAACACGTTGGTAACACGTTTGAACACAGAAACAAGCAGGAAGCAACAACAAGAATAAGTCAGAAAGGTATGTTGTCCGTTACCTGTTGGACGAATGTGGATGTGATGAGATATGAATATATATATATATAGTATATATAGGATATGAAAATATATGAAGAATCATGTTGCTAATGAAATTAATAGTGGGCAGCTCACGTCCGATCCGTCCTTTTCTGATTGGGGTGGTGGAGTCTCTGCCAAGCGGATGTTGCTATTCCAAAAAAGGATGTGAGTGCTTGAAGTTGTTGAGGATGGGCAGGGCAGATTGTCCAAAGCCGGGCTTCGTTGCACTAGCTCTACATCCCCCACCATGTCAAGTAGCTGCAATCATCCGCGTTTTGCAAGAGTTCATCAATGAAATGAACCTCGGTATCAAATGAAAGAAACACAAAGCCGACCGCGGTGAAACCCGAACTGCCGAGGAACAATCCCCCAGCTTTGCACACGATCAAACTCTTACATCCATTAGCGCAGTCAACACTTGTAGGAATACCTGTAGTCCAAGCTCTCCTACTGGTACGTTGCTGAATGAAAGCTCCACTTGTAGTCAGTCAGTTGATGCATTTTCAATCATATTTCTCCAGGCCCTGGATCTCAATACCAGGAGCAAGGACGCTACTAGGGGCTCCTGGCATCGCTACTACGAGCAAGGACGCTACTAGGGGCTCCTTTGACTTGAGATCGGATTCACTAATGTTTTCAGCTAGGAGGCCGGAGAGGTGTAGAGCTGTTCGCCCAATTGCCTCAAGCCACCACACAGGGAGCTTCGTAAGATCTTCACGCTGTCCTCAGACAGGACAGCAAAAAAACGCACAGCCATCAAATGACAGTGATATTGGTTTCGGGTCCGTGATTAATGCATCATGGAGCATATCTGTTGGTAGATCTCATGAAAGAGATACACCCCGACTCACTTATAAATGGACTTAGAACAAATGGAACGGGGGAAGTCTGCGTGTCTTTCTTTACGAGGGGCTGACCTCCATGGACCAAGCCCTGTCAATGTGATATCATTCGTTCATCAGCGTTTGCCTTTTGAACGTCCAAGTGTCGCGTCTTGCAGCAATTCTGGAGATGAACCCTTCTGCATCTGACATGCTCAGAGTCTCTGGATCAGCTTTGAGAACCCAATCACTTTCTTCGACATCATCTGAACCTACGGTCATCAGCACGATTGGTCGCTGCGGTCCGTGCGGAATCACGAGTCGCACAGTGTCGCCAAGGGCATACATGTCTGAAAAGTCTAGCTCCACATCCTCTTGCAATAAAGCATGCTCTTGCATTACAATTCTGTCCAAGATATGTATCATCTCCCGCAATGCCATAGATTACAGTACATGCTTTTCACTACCATTCTCCTTTCTCCATGTTGTAGTCTCTTCCTAAGGGATCAGAGTGAAGGGAGCATGCCAGTGAATGGGTCTGCTGGATCTACAGCACAAGCAAATCCATTCAAAAGCAACCCCCAGCTTGTGGGCAACCAAATAAGCTGTCGCCAGTTACTACCATACAGAGAGCTCCTTTCCAATCAGTCAGATTTCCCACCTGCCTTCGCTCGCAGGGAGATTCTCCAGTCTTCGCTCGAAGCTACTTTTGGGCTGAGCCAGGTGATTTGACGACTGTGCACGAAGCAACTCTGACCTCGAATTGGCAGGCACTCATTAGGATAATCTTATTGAGGCTTTGAGACAAAATGCAGTAGCAGGCGACCGTAAATTGTGGTAGTACTTCCCTTTTCCCAATGGGTGATAGAGTCTAGACACAGCGTTTCAATGTGCGTTGAGCATTTTTCAGCACTGTTCGGGAGCTTCTTGATATCAAGCTCAAATAGCCAACTGGCTCAGCTCCTGTAGCATACACAAGTTGACCAAACTTGTGAGCTAAAGAAGGTTTCGAATCTGCAAGAGTAATCATTGTGCAACTACAAACCCCAAGGGGTGGTTGAAATGAATGCCTAACAGCCCTAAAATTATTCATGTGGTTGTTGCCTCTACATCCTCTCTGAACCTATATTGCATACCAGTACGACTGAAGAAACCACTCCGAGAGTCCGAGAGTAGACAGAAAAAACTCCTAGTAGCGTCCTTGCTCCTAGTAGTAAGACCAGGAGCCCCTAGTA